GAGGGGGGCAGCATGGGATCCTCCACACACTTTAAACCAGGCCTCGGGACACCAGGACCCCCTCTCATGCCTGCAGGCGCGGCCCTGTCTGAGTGTGGGGAGGACTTGAGGTGGGGCGGGATGTCCGCCACAGGAAGGGCAGCTGGGCGGTGGGCAGGCAGGCCCCTTGCTGTGGCCGTCCCAGGACACCTTGTACTTTGCTGCTAAGACATCCGTTGAGCAGCTTGTGCTGTGCCAGGCCCGGAGTGGGCGCAGGCACGCTGAGCAGACAGGGGCCAGGAGACCTGGGTGCTCGCCCAGCGCTCACCACCGGCTCCTCTGCTCCGTGAGGGGCATGGGGGCCTCGGCTGCCTGTGGAGCGAGCTCTCCTCGGACACGGAAGAGGCCAAGAGGGGAGGGGGTGGCAGTTTGGCTCGGAGCTGGAGGACAGTCCGGGCCCTGAGAGCCAGCAGGCGGAGAAAGCGAGGACAGCTCTGGGGGCCGAGCGCCACACAGAGAAGCAGGAGGGGACAGCTGGGCCCAGGCCAGGGCACCGGTGCCAGGGGCCCTGCAGCCACAGGGCAGGGCAGTTGAGTTTCCTGAAGGGCAGACTTCAGACCCTCCAGCACGTGGTCCAGGCTCACCCAGGCCTGAGCTGTCCCGTGACAAACCCGTCCTTGGCCTCTGCTCCAGCCGTCCCTGCGCGGGCACAGACCTGAACTGACCAAGGCTGACCCTCAACCTGCCCTCACCCACTGCCCTTCCCCTCAGACCACAGTCACCTGGAGTCACCCATTGATGCCGCCTCCGTCTGCTCTCCTCGAAGCCGAGAGAGCTCCCAGCACACACCTGGCCCATCTGTCACCCCCACCCTCGCTGCCTGCCTCCAGCCCGAGTCCTCCCCATCGCTGCCTCGGGGCCTCTGCAGGCTCTCCCTTACCCAGACCACTCCTTCACCCTCCCCCAAACCCAACGTGGGTGCTGCTCCCTCCAGAAAGCCCTGCTGCTCCCCGATAAGTAGGTGAGGGGACCCCTCAGCCCACCACCCCCTCCCCCACCGCCACCCAAGACTGCAGCCCCCAGGCAGCAGGCACTGCCCCAGGCTCCTGGGCCAGCCTGTCTCCACGTTGATTGGCTGCCTGTCCTGCTGCACCACTTCCCTTCTCCCTGGCCGGCCTGGGGGAAACCCTGGGGAAAACGGCAATGAGTGGGGGGACGAGGGTGGGGCAGGGAGACGGGGAAGGAGAATGTGCCCCCCACCCTAGCCTGCCTCACAACTGGGATCAAAAAATAACCAGGGGCCTTGGCAACTGGCCCTCGGCTGCCAGGGCCTGACATCAGCGGCCCCCTCCTCCTCTGCCTTCTCCTCCCCCTCCCTGCCCAGAGCAGTAAGTACCAGCTGGCAGCAGGCATGCCAGGCCTGCCAGCCCAGGGTC